TGCTAGGCATGGCTTTTCACTGGGCTCCTCAGAGAAGCCCCAGACTGCTAGGCATGGCTTTTCACTGGGCTCCTCAGAGAAGCCCAGGAGGAAAGAAGCAAGGGCAGCTGAGGACAGAGTCCCTGGAAACTCTGCTGCTGTTTATACTTTGACAGGAAGCAAGCATCCCCTTTAATTTTCCTGGTGGGGTGTGCGTTGCAGGATGGCTTGGCCTGAATATGGTCCTTGCTGTGTCCTGGTCTCCCCCAGCCTAGGAGGATCGTCCCAAGAATGGGCCTTTCCACTCCTCAGCCCCTTGTCACCTGCCTCCCTTTTAACTCGGAACTGGGCTCTATCTCTCTGGGACAGCTGTCCCCTGGTTGGCCTCTCCCTACCTGACCAAGGGAGATACCTTTGAGAGTCAGGCTGCGCATGGCATCTGTTTAGAGACAGGGCAGTTTTCATTTGGCCTTAGAATTAAAGACAGGGCTAAATGCAAAAGATCTGAGAGGACAGTGGAGGAGAAAGACGGGGGAGGAAGAAGCCCAAAGGCGGGGGAGCTGAAGACACCGGGCGAAAGAATCAACTCAGCTTTCATCTCCAAGTCTGATCTGTTTTGTGAACCCTAATGGGAAAGGTCATGAATTTTAAAACATGTCTCTGCAGCCGACAGCTCCAGTCATAAAACCCGCCCTGTCTGAAGCTCAGCTGCCACAGGAGGCTGGGCCCAAGGAGTCCACAGACAGGGAGGCAGGGGAGTGCAGGCCCTTGTCAGGAAGTCAGATCAGACCGGTCTGAAGACATCATCTGGACAGGCTCCGAGCTGCACTCAGTGCAGGTCTCCATGCCTAGCCATCAGGCCTCACACTGGTTCCTGTTGCTGTCAAGGGCAGAGTCACACAGAGACCCACCATAGCCTCTGCTCACTGCGCTGACTTCTGGAGTTGGGGGAGGCAGCAGACCTCTGGGGACTGACCTTTCTGTCCAGGGTCATGATAGGCCAGCTTAAGAAACAAGGGGAACCCTTTTCAGGAGCTGTTTCCGAAGGGTGTGTCAACAGTGCCCTGGAGTATGCAGCTAGCCAGTTTGTTTATGGACTGGATCTCTGGGAGGAGGGCTGTGAAGGTGGCCCCTGGTGTCTTCTGGGGTTGGAAGTGGATCTCTGGGAGGAGGGCTGTGAAGGTGGCCCCTGGTGTCTTCTGGGGTTGGAAGTGGATCTCTGGGAGGAGGGCTGTGAAGGTGGCCCCTGGTGTCTTCTGGGGTTGGAAGTGGATCTCTGGGAGGAGGGCTGTGAAGGTGGCCCCTGGTGTCTTCTGGGGTTGGAAGTGGATCTCTGGGAGGAGGGCTGTGAAGGTAGCCCCTGGTGTCTTCTGGGGTTGGAAGTGGATCTCTGGGAGGAGGGCTGTGAAGGTGGCCCCTGGTATCTTCTGGGGTTGGAAGTGGATCTCTGGGAGGAGGGCTGTGAAGGTGGCCTCTGGTGTCTTCTGGGGTTGAAAAGGCCATGCTGGTCTTTGTCTTGGGAGCAGTGGGGAGCTGCCAGTGTCTCTATCGGTGAAAACTGTCTGCTTTTGCTTTGTTCTAGTTGAGAAAGGGACTTATTCTATAGACCAGAAAGGTTATCCTCCTGCCTCAGCCTTCCAAGTGCTGGGATTACAGGTGTGTACTACCTTACCCAACCAAAACAAATACACACTCTTGCAAATGGAGTCTGTTACAGGGAAAGTCTTAGAGGATGCACTGCACAATATACCCCCACCTTATGTAAGGAAACGATTGTTTATTGCAGAAAAATAAATATGGGAACTATGAGATTTAGAATTTCAGCCATTCTAAGTGCCCATTTGAGAGACACTAACCATCACCCCTGTTCATGTCTAGAAGTCTTTCAACTTAGCAATTGAACCCTGTAAAACAATGGCTTCCTAAGCCCTTCCCCTTAGCTCATCCAACCACAGCTCTGTTTTCTAAGAATGTTCTGGATACATCCTGTAAATAGGCTTGTGGCCCTGGAAATAACCTAGAGAGGAACCACTGGACACACTGATAAGGGATTTTCTTAATCAGGGTGCATGACGTGAAAGGTTCCATCTCAGTGTGGGTGGCTGTCTGTAGCACGAGTTCTAATCGGTCTTAGTAATGAAAGCCCAGAGTCAGATATTCGGGGGTGAAAGCTGAAAGGCCCTTGGGCTCTAGGGGATGCTGCTCTGCTTCTCTGGTCTTCCATATAAAAGGAAGTCCCAGGGGAAAATGTTTGACTTTTGCCTGCCTGCCTTCCAGTCATGCTTGTAGGTTCATCTACCCTGTCTTCTCTTGTTGAGTTCATCTGCTCGGTTGCTGCTGTTTTCATTCTTCTCCATCCTTCTAAGCTGGACTGAAGACCAGCAGCTCTCCAGAAACTTCCAGGCCTTCAATGTCCTTCTGGGATTGTCTAGCTATCTGGCCTATGGACTGAACAGCTATGGGCTTCTTAGGCTCTCCAGTATGACGATAACCATTGTTGCATGCCCAGACCATTTTGTGTAAGCCAGTCTAATAAATTCCCTTTTAGCGTTCATCATTCTGTCAGTTCTGTCCCTCAAGTGAGGGCAGGGAGCGTACAGAATCCGCCCTTCTGTGACTGGCTCGTTTCACTTCACAGAGCATCTCAAGTCTGTTCCTGTAGTAACATGTTTTTAAAAATTGTGGTAAAAATGCATATGCGACAGGCACTGTTTATCATTTTAACTCTTTGTAAGTGTATGATCCAGTGGCTCTCCATCCAGCCACAGTGCTGTGTGACCATGTGCAGGGTCCTCCCTGCAGGTAGAGCAGGGGAAGGGCCTGTCCAGCCGGCCTCTTCCTGGGGGCTGAGCGGGATGGTGAGTGTCAACGATTCAGACCCTCCCCCCATTAGTTACCGGGGAAAAACACATACACTGAATCGGGAGTCTGTTGAAGCAGGATCTCGATTTATTCCAACACACAGGAACTTATATAGGACTGAGATAGGGGATGGGAATCTTGGGATAGGGTAAGGTGATGTGAGGAGTAAGGGCCAATAGTATTCCACCAAGCAGGCAGGTAGCTAGGCAGGGGGCAATCTTGCATCAGATCTGGCTGGATCACCCCCACGTGGAGGTTACAGGTTAGAGACAAGTTGCTGAACTCTAGCCAGACTCAGGAGCTTACACTGGGCCTAGCATCCAAGCCTTTCTTAGGCCCAACAACCATGAGCTCTCAAGCTCTCATTGTCCCTAGCAGAAACTATACACCCACAAGTGGAAATCCCCAACTTCGTTCTCACCCTGTCTCTGGTAACCTCCATTCTACTGTTTATCTATGTGTCTGCCTACTGTAGATACCGCAGATTATCTTTTTCATGTTGGGCCTTGATTAGAACTGAAGGGATCTGGAAAATGCCCTCAGAGGTGGAGAGTAGCACACGGTGCCACTCCATTGGAGATGGGGCCTCATGTTTTGCTGCAAGGGGAAACAGAACCATCCAAGGCAGGCTGACCCCAAGTACCACAGAAGACATGCTCCAGTGGGGACTGCCTGGGAGGTTTGTTGATCTGTGGCCAGGGTTGCAGGATCCAAAAGAGACTCTTGGAAGGCATGTCTTAATCCCATCTCCAGGGAGCTCTGCCTGAAAGCCCAGTTCCTCACTGAGCCTTCGCACGGACATGGACAGCCAGGCAGGGCTGCTGCTTTGCTGGCTGCCTTGGCACTTCTTATCTTGGGAACAGTTTTCTCAGAGTTTGAAAATCAGCTCTTCCGTGTACATGACACCTGGGGTCCACTGCATGTTCAGTTCTTACCCCTGAAAAATGAGGATGAGAAGAAGAGCCCCCTCCTAGGTACAGATGAGCCAAGGAAAAGAGCCCCCTCCTAGGTACAGACGAGCCAAGGAAAAGAGAAATACCCACAATGCGTAAGTGCTCTGGGAAACAGTGAGCATCCATAGCCGTCACCATCATTCATCTCACTGCTGCATATCAGTCTCTTGTGAGTTTTGCCTGCATGACTCACTCACTCTCTTCTGGTTTTAAGACATTGTCTATGGGCTGCGTGTGCCCCAGGGACAGGTATTCCTGTGAGTTTGCTGGAATGAATATCACTGATTCATATTGTAATGTTGTTGGTTCATCGCTCTGCTGACAGGGTTTCCCCAGGCTTGATGGGAACACAGAACTGGGAAGTGTGAGCTCAACCATGGGGACAGATTCTTGAGATGCACCCTGATTTTATCATCACTGAAGTCTTGCCTATCAGTAAGTGAAACACTCCCCTCCCCCAGCTTGTCTGACCCTTCTGACACTGTGACAAAGTTCATGCTGAAAAAACCCACCCAATCCAGTTACCAAGAACACCGATCTTGTAGCATTTTAGCTAAGCACACAATTTTGGGTTGGACTGTAGACTTAGCTATCTGGGATGCGTTTGAATCATTGGTTGGACATGTCTGCAAAACTTAAGATCTGTGAGACAGCTGCTTGGAATGCTGAATGACGCAGGGATCACCGGTGCATGGCTGGCCTGGGCAGCCTGCTAAGATCCTGGGATTTTTTGGTAAGTAGACCAGGCTGGCCTTGGACTTATAATAATCCATTTTCTTTGGGATTGTAAGTGTGAACAACCACACCCCGCTCTGAGGTCCGGAATGAGAAGTAAATAGAAAGCGGGCCGGAAGCTCTGCGGTAGAGTAGTTGTGGGCATGCGTGGCTCAGTCCCCAGGTTTCCTTCCAGCGTCTTCCCACTCCAGTCCCCTAGGCAGTCAAGTTCGCATCGGCTGGGCTTCCTGTTAAAGGCCCATGGCTGACCTGGGAAGCCTTACATTAGTGAGGACAGGCTCTCTGCCATAGACATCTGCCTGCACATCCTCAGACCCTCTTTCCACCAGTGCTGGGACCCAGGCAACACTCCTCCTGTTCTTGGAGGAGGGAAGATGTTCTTTCTTCCCTTAGGGCTGCGCAGGACAGCCTGACATTCAGACACAGTCACATGAGGGCAGCCTCTGCAGACCCGGAGCTGTCCCCTTTTTAAGGCTTTTGAAATTAAATCCCGTCTCCTGGTACCACCCCCTATCCCGCCCACCATAGGGCGGGATCTGTCTTCGAAACCTCCTGTACCCCTTTCTGCCACCTCTACCCGGTTATGGATTTTCATCCTCAGCAGATCTCAAAGCCAAAGCCTGCGGTCTAGGTCCCCTGCTCCCAGGTGGCAATGCAGTTCCTGTACACATTCACACAGCCCCCAGGCTCCAGTTAGCAAGGGGCGTGTCGAGGATGGAGATGAGCGTCCATCTGCCCGCGGACCGCAGGTGGGTGGATTAATTAATGATTATAGACTACTTTGAAAGTTGTGAGGCTAATTATTTAGCCAGTTCCCTCCCTTCCCCCCCAACTCCCCTTGACAGCCTTTTGTCTCTCCCTCATGGGGTGTCCTTTGAAGTGAATGGGAGAGGATGAATTGAGGGTCAGTTAATGGGGCTGGTCACTGCAGATGGCTGGCTGGAGAGAGCTGTCCGGATGCGGTGCCGCTGCAGGAGGCTATTCTCTGCCTAGACCCAGCTTGATGAGGCTCTCTTGATGGGAACTAGCTAAGGATCCCAGGCAGCCATTACTGCCCAGCCCCTCCCTGCTGCCTCCTCCCCTCACCCCCACCCCTGCCCCAGGACAGCACACATTCTGTTCTTCATCAGCTCTGAGGTCACCTGAAGCCTTTGGAGTTCCGGGGTTTGCTTCCAACTTGGATGTGAAGTCCTATTGACTCTTCCTCCTCTTTTCCAGACTTCACTGGAACACACTGTAGGTACTGTGTCCTACCTGTGACATACCACTGAAACCCCTAATCTGAAACCCCCAAACCCGAGACACTATGAAGCCTCAAACTTTCTGAGCATCCTGTTAGCACTTAAAAAAATGTTTCAAATTTGGCTGGACACACACATATAACCCCAGCACTGGGGAGGCAGAGGCAGCAGGGTCACAAGTTCTAGGCCAACCTAGACTAGACAGAGAGAGTCTGTCTTGAGATGGTCGGCTTTTACTGTCAACTTGGCACAAACCTAGAGTTAACTGTGAAGAAGGAACCTCAAATGAAGAATTGCCTTCATCAGATCAGGGGCCATGTCTGTGAGAGAGTTTCTTCATTGATGGCTGATGTGGGAGGGACCAGCCCACTGTGGGTGGCACCGTCCCTAGGCAGGTGGGCCTGGACTGTGTAAGGAGCCACAGAGCAAGTCGGTAAGGCTTGACTGACTTTCCTCAGGGACGGCTTGTGACCCGGAAGCATAAGATGAGATTAACTCTTTCCTCCCCAGCTTGCTTATAGCAGAGTTCTTTTTCACAATAACAGAAGCAAACTAGAACATGTTTCAAAAACAATAAATCAAATAAGCGAAACCCTTAAACAAAGTCTCTCTCACACACACACCCCTGCAATCTCTACCCTTGCCCCAGGTAACAAAGATGGGGAGACGCACTCCTGTGGAAGAACATCTATCATCCCCCAAGCCCTAGGTCCAGCCTCCAGCACTTCAATAAATGAATGAATATTTCAAATTTCTGAGTATTTGACATTTCAAGTTTTCAGATCATATTGCATAAATATCCAAAAGTTTAAAAATTTTGAAATGCAGAACATTTCTGATGCCAAACATTTTGAATAAGAAATCTTCAACCTACACCATTCGAGAGAGAAATAACCCTAAACCACCACAGCAGTGAGTGCAGGCTGCCTTGAGGAGCCAGAGGGCTACGCTGCTTCCTTCTTTCCCAGTCAGTAAACCTTAATTTTAAAATTAAATTCACTTTTCTTCTATTCTAAAATCTTGAATTGTACATACTATTTAAGTCAGGGAAATCCAACAATAAAATAGAGGTTATTAGCAGTAATACATACATTTCCATATCGCCTAACTGTCTTCAAGACTGGGTCTTTTATGCTTCTGTGTACACATCAAAAAGGGAGAAGATGAAAACGTGGCTCACTTCAGTTCTTGTAGTCCGTCATGTTCACTGAAAGGCTATTCCATAGAGGAGATGACACCGTTCTACACCTGTGTCTAGTCTAGTCTAGTCAGGAGGAGAGCATGAAACTCCATAAATACGGCAGAGGATGCTCTGAGTGACTGCTTTGCAATTTGCTGACATCAACGGGTAGACTGGCCCTTTGCCCGTCCTTGCCTCAGGATGGTTTCCGGGCAGAAAACAGAAGCCGCTTGAAGTCAAAGGCTTTTGTAAAAGTTCTAAGCTCTTTGACTAAGGGGTGTTTGGGGTCCCAGAGGTGGAGAGGAGAGAGGAGGCCTTTGAGGGCAGCAGTGGGGAGGAGGGATGAGTGCAGGGGAGGAGGCTGAGAAAGAGCTTGAGAGTGAGGAAGGAGGAGAGGGAGGAAGGCAGGTGAGGGATGTAGAAGACAGAGAAGGTATGCGTGTAAGAGACCTGGGGACACTAGGTCCAAGACACCAGAGATCTTGGACTCACTCATGTCTCCTGAATGTCAAACTGATGGTCTGGGAGACACATGTTGGCTGTGATAGTGCAAGCTTTGGGGACCAGGAAGGGCTGAAGATGACTAAAGGGTGGACAGGGCTTCTTCAGCAGTTTTCAATAGAGGATGGCTACCGTGTAATCCTCTAGGCAAGCAGCCTTGTTGGTGATTATGCTTGAGTTTCTACAGTCCCAGAAGGTGCGGAATCCAGTAGGACCTTAGATGGTTTAATTAAAAGTCATGCCTCCTGTGCCCTGGAGTGACAAGTTCTGATACCATACTCCTGGACATAACTGTGATCCAATTAAACACAAGGAAGGGCTCAGAGCTGTCCAGGACAGTCAATTTTGTAAGGACAGACAGAAAGTAAAACTGAACTTCAGCGACTGGGGGCGGGGCAACAGAGAATGAGACAGAATTTCCGTTTCAGAAGGTCAAATGAATTTTGGAGATGGGAGCATGCATGCATGACTCACTACCATTGAGCTGTACTCTTTCTTAAGTTTAAATTTACTTTATTGTTTGTGGGGTATGTGTGTGTGTGTGTGTGTGTGTGTGTGTGTGTGTGTGTGTGTGTGTGTGCTTTGTGCCGTGGTACATGGGTTTGAGAATTGAGTATCTTTTTCCACCTTGTTGAATCAGCCTCTCTTGTTTCTGCTGTGATACATGAGCTTCAGGCAAATTCTCTCATCTCCACCATCGTAGTGCTGGGGTTAGAAATGTCTTTCACTGTGTCTGTTTTCCTGTGGTTTTCCGGAACTGCACTCAGCAGTCAGGCTTGTGGCAGAGGCCATCTCACCAGTCTGAAACTGTGGTCTTAAGATGGTTTGGATGGTTACTTTTAGGTTCATCTCAAATAGTGCCTGGTAAGAATCGAAGCGCAGTCGGGAAAAGTGTGGGGGAAGGAATTAGCCTCCTTTGTGCTATCTAGTAAGCAAGTGAGGGGAGTCACAGGGGAAAGGGTGACATAATCAGGTTGGTGTTCTAGCAAGGTCCTCACTGCCATGTGGAAGACTGCTCTGAGCCAGGGAGCAGACCCCACTGGGTTGACTCTCAAGGACAGGAATCTTCTGCCATCTCAGAAGCTCCTGTCCGTCTCCCTGGGAAGCTTTATTCCAGACCCCCTGGCCACGTTGCCATCTGTGGCACACTTTCCTCTGCATGCATGGCACTTTGGTTGTTTTGAGGACTGTTACTCCTGTCTCATAGTCTCTCATGTCTTTGTGAGGTGCCAAGGTTAGAACTCATAGCCTTGCATATGTTAGGCAAGTCATCCACCACGGAGTGACACCCAAGTTCTATAGTCTTGGGTTGGGGTTGGGGGGTGAGCATCAGAGACAGATCTTTATTTCAATTATTTTTCCTGTCCCCTCTTTTCAGTGTATTTTCTGTGCAGCCTTCTTTATTTTCAAATTTAAAATCCTTCCCACCCTGACCCCAAATGTTCTATGTATTCTGTCAACTCTTGCTCCCAACAACAAACAATGCCTAGCTTTGCTAGGGTCACCCATTGCTCTTTATGGAGGCAGAATAGGGCTTCTGTGGGTGGGAAAAGGTTTGAGGGCATCCATCCCTGAGTAGGAAGCCTTGTTATCACATATTTATAACCTTCATTGCTGCAACTATAAAATAGGGTAATGATGCTATGACCTCATTGGGTTATAACAGGATTAAATGAGTTAATAGTTCAGAAGCACTTAATCAAGGGTGCTGGTACTAGATCAAGTGATCATGCATTGAACATCTACTTTACAAAGACGTTGTGGGGATTCAATGAAATGTCATTCACGAGGTGCTTGGCACAGAGTGTGAACTACAGTAAGCACGTGCTCAATTCCAGTTGCTACTGTTCCCATTAAGTTATTTGGAGCTGTTTTAGAAGCAGACATGTGAAAGGTGGTGTGCTATGATTGAGTGTGAAATGCACCTCCCGGCTGCATATGTTTGAATACTTGGATCTAACTGGTGGCATTGTGTTGGGAGCTGTGGAGTCTTGAAGAGGTGGAGCCCAGCTGGAGGAATTGAAGTTGTTTGCTGTAGCGGAGGGGAGGGCCTTCCTTGGGGGGTCATAGCAGGGCTATAGTTTCAGCATAACCCCACTCTGGATCTCTCTGCCTCTGTTTTACTCTTTCTCCTCTTGTCCCTTCCTTTGGCTCTTGCTTGCATGCCAAAAAAAAAAACAAAAATAAAACAACAACAACAAAAACAAAAAACCAAACCAATGACAAAAACCATAATAAATATATTCCCTCAAAATGTGAACCAAAATCACCCCCACCCCTTAAAGTGCTTTTAACTGGGGAGTTTTATAAAAGGGGCAAGAAAAGCAACCACAGATGGGATGAGAACAGATAAGACTGGGTATTGCGTTGGGGTCATCCTTGGGGAAACCAGGGTATTTTCATCCCTCTTGGCTGGCTCTGTGCTGTTTCTTTGTGTTTTTTTTTTTCTGTCCTTCATATGCTGGGGTCCCAAACACCTTTCTGTTTAGGTATGGTTTCAGTCAGGTGAACCCCGAACTCACATAGGTTAAACAGTACCCTCCAAAGGATAAGTTGAAATCCTAAATCCTACTACCCCAGAATGTGACCTTGTATGGAACAAGGACATTATCAATATAGTTACAGATGTTTGGACAACGATCTTCCCATTTTACACTGCTATGAAATGTACTTATACATGGTTACTTTTCTCTTTCAGTTTGCATTCATTCAATTTCATGAGACAGAAAAAGTTTCACTATAAAATAGGCTTCATGGTAGGTTTTGCTCAGCTGCAGGCTGATGTGCCTATTTGGGGCATGTCTGAGGTAACTCTGCAAAACCGTGA